ATTGATAAAGTGCTCAATTTGAAGCATGAAGATGGGGAGCAAATTTACCCGCATATTCTTTGATTTTTATTCATGGCGAGTTACAAATTGGGACGAAATATTGGTTCTGTAGGTGATGGCAGTTGGTGAAGAATTCTAAGTTGCAATTAATCAAATTTCATAGGAACTAGTCAGGTTGAAAGAGTTTATTCGCAAAACTGTTTTTCACCATATTCCTGTATTTTTTGTTGATTTTATACATTCCAAGCACACATTGAGACCAGATAGTTAGAATTTCTTCCAGTTTATGCAATTTTTGTACAGATACCCTCAACACTGTATGTACTGAAATCTGGGTTATATACCTAGTAATTGGTAGCAGTGCATTTCACGATTCATTTGCGAATGAACTAACAGAGTAAAAGGATAACAATATCTTTTTCAAGTTTCACTAATTCGGGTTTCATTCTGAAGTCAGATTACAGAATAATATCAGTTAGAGAACCATTGAAAACAATAGAGTATGAGACATCTGTTTCATTCTAGTTTCAGAATCTTAGGCAGTAGGCATCCGTGACCTCATTTTTTGATTAAAGCTTTATTCCACACCGTAATTTTGGTACAAGTATGGAATTCTCAGCACGTGATATTGGTAACCCGAATTTCGCAGGCCGACCATTGATATCAGGCGTCCGTTGGCAAGGGATCGAACCCCGGACCATGTGGATGGTTGGCGAGAGTCCTGACCGCTGTGCCACCAACTGGGAACCTTAAGGTTATGTGGCGGTCCCATCCACCTTCAAGTCACTGGAGTGGAATTTGATGGCTCATGAAGTCGAACTTCTATCGATTCGCAGCCAGTGTGGTCCACCAGGTTAGATGTGAGAAATGATATTCCCTGATAGCATTGGCTGACAGTGCGGCGAACTATACCGCGCAGAGGGAGAAGTTATAATCTACAGGCTTTTGGATTTCAGTTCAGCAGCTGAATTGTCTATAGGCCTAGCCCGTAACCTGGAATTTCTAGATCTGATCCCCAGTGAGCCCATGGGTGCGTAGTGATGAAGTGTCCCATCTACGACGAAACAGCCGTGCTGTGCTTCCTAGCTGTTAATAATTCTCTGAGTGATGTTAGTCCGTGGCCTAACTTGAAATTAATCAAGTTCCTTCCAAACAACACCTGAAGATTTTATATTACAAGATTTCTCATTTTCCTGTGATCCACACTACTGAAAGAATTTTAAAGTAGTAGTGTGTTCTAAAAGTGCTCATTGTAGACGTAAAATTTATTGACTTAATACTGATTGGCAAGCAGAAATTAATTGTGAACAAAAAACTAGAACTGACAATCATGATAATTAACATTCCAGTATAATTAAAGGTCAGACTAAACCAACCTACTTAAGATGTATTCTAATTTCTCTTGATTATAATTGCAAATACCAGAAATGTTTATCACAAATTTGTAGGTCACAGAACGTTTCTTTTATTCTTCATTTTTATTTGCTTTTTTACGTGGGTGTGATTATACTGATACCGTCTAACTTTAATTTGGTCAGAAGTAAAAATAAAAATTTTAAAACAAAAGGAAGTAAATCTTAGTCAATAAAATATTATGATATTTTAAGATAACAGTCAGTCCAGAGGATGAATACTCCTTTCAAGTAATTCTCTTCATATTCGCATACATATAAAGCAAAGTTTATCATCATTGTAATGATAGTTAGATATGCTACAAATACATTTTCTCAATATTGAATGAATATGATTACAGATTGAATATGCAACGAAGGTACAGCTAAAGGAAGCTGATCATTGATCGTTGCTTAAGCTAAAGCCATCGCATAAGACTAGTACTGAACCAAAATGGTGATATTCATATATAGCTTGGTATGTGAATGATTCAATTTGAAGTCACTGCCAGGAGATCAGTTTATTATTACTGGTTTTCATTTATGGCTCTTCACTTTTGAAGTAAGCTAATATACAAATATTGTTGTTGAACAGACTAATTAGTACAGGATCTACAGATGTATCTGAATGATAGTTAGGAACAGCACTAGCGGTTAATTAACCGTTACACAGATGTCATCTTTGTTCAGTCTATCTGTACGACTGGAGCAGAATTACATGTGTTGCACGCAGCACCGTTGACATCAAACTCAACGTATCGTTTGCAGCATAAACCGCCTATAGCATGCTAGTACTGAGACGCTTGGTCCTATGTGAAGTCACTCCATTCAAAGATAATAAACACACCTACAATGGCATGTCACTGGTCGCAAAGACAGTTGATGCATACAGAATAACCGGCTAAGTTCTAGAAGTCAGTTCCATCGAAGTCTAGTGCCTGAAGCTATGAATATTACTGCTGTCTACGACACTGGTACACCAACGACACGTAAATCCACTGACGTAACGATTAACACAGCCAGAATGTCTGCAGATGGACACTAAATGGGATATATCGATAGTGTTGAAGAATTTATAGAGGGAAATAAGATGCTTAGCTATTGAGAATGCAGAAAACATCGTCACTAACTACCTAACTGCAGCGGACTCTTCAGCCACAAGAGTCAGTGCAGTCTGTCTGTTTTCAACATAGAACTTTGCACCGATGTATAGCAGTTCAAGTTACCACACTCCATGTAGCACACAAAGCAAGGGAAAAAAGTAGAAGAAATTCAAAACAGAGACAGTAGACAGGGATATGAAACAAAGGAATAGTAATAACGAAGAGCAATATAGTTTCATTGGAAATTATAAGTCACAAGGAGTGGATGCATCTGCGCCAATGAGGACGATTTTGAGCCATATCGCCGATTGTCTCCAGCCATTGGTCTTTACCATCCCGAGGACCCCAACCAGGAATTCTACACCTTCCTACGTGGCTTAATTAACTGTTGTGGATTTCTTTGAGTCGATGCAGTACTGCTGCGTGACTTCCAGATGGGACTCAGGAGGACATTATCCATATCTCACGCCCAATTTCTGCAACAAAAATAAATACATTTAGATAGAGAAAGGCACTTTTACGCTAGTTTACACAGTTCAAAGCTTCTACAAAATACCATATCGTCGAATATTTAATTTATTAACAGATTACAAGCCTCTGCCTTCTATATTTCGATCAAACATATGTAGACCAGTTCACTTAATAAACAAACGACAACAAATAGAGAAAATATAACTGAAGTACCACTTCAGGATATACTATCCCTGGATGGAGAATTTCAACCAAGTTTAGTAAGTGATTACTCCTCATCAAACTAAGAACGGCTGTTGCGTCAGTTGAGATTAAAAGCCACGCTCAGAGTTCATTAACTTGCACCAGCCAGCAGGTTCCTAATGCAACAGAGTAAAAAAGGTAGGTCATGAAAACAGATGATACTTTACAAATGCATTTGAGGCTGGTCAGAAATTGTTGACCAGAATCCGTAAAAAATTAATACTTCAATCAATTATTCCAGCACCACCACTATTTCAGAGTCATTGATAACTGTCTAAGATTAAGTGGATGAGTGGTGATAGCGGACGCCTTGAGTTAGTCGACAGCCTACAGTAAAATGCATGAAGTTAACAGTGAGCATTCATGTATGCCAACATAACAGAATTCGTCATCAGATATCATGTGTCATCAAGCTGTGCCTGGGAAATTTCTGACAGATTGACAAGAAGCATGACTAAAATTACAAATGAACTTTGTTGGTCACGTTAGTGTTGTATGTTATCTGATTTTGATGGAAGCCTATTAAAAGTTCACCAAGGTTGTGTCATTTCAGTGACTGAACTACATCAGCCTCACTGAAATTGTTCCATGCCATAGTATTTCAGAGACTGTATAATCTGGCGGTGGAATTTGGAGACGAACTGGTGCACAGCGTATGCGGACTATATCTTACCATCGTAACTTCCACAGCCAGGTAGAAAGACCTGTGGACTTTACCTAAACAGCTATCGTAAGATTGGTGAGTGACTACAAAAGGAATCGCTTGTATATCCTAAAACGCCAACACGGGACCTAGAGAAATATACAGCTGAACACTTAATGAGATGGATGTAACAATCACACCATCTTAAGCACTTGCCCTTACCACCAGTTCAACAGAAGAATACTGTGAGGGCATTTTCACAAAAGCGATTCGGTCTATTCTAGTGGAAGTAAACCAGGAAACAAAAAATGTGGAAGGTAAAATAAAATGTCAACAGAAAACTTTAATACGAAATAAAACTGGTTATTTGTTTGACAGGAGTTAACAAACATTGCTTAAATTAAGCTGCATTTGAATATACGTCAGAAACCAGTTATGCTCATCAAACCATGAGATATGAAATAATCACTCGATACGGGTATCAAATAATATGCATAGATTTTGAATTAGTGGTGTTCTCTGAGCTGGATGGTTTATTTGCGGAGCTTTCACCCCACTACTAGGCAAATAAAACATCCAGCTCAGAGAACACACCTATATCAAAATCATCCACCTGAGCTACAGATCTCCTCCATCATTTCTAATATGAACAGTAAATTACATAAACTACAAAACACTTATAATTCATGAAATAAGAGTAATCAGAGGGATCCTGAGCCAATTAGAAAACGTGAAAACACTATTGCTCTATTTGCCATAAGGAAAAACTCGAAGGACTACGTTACACATATCATCACATATCCAGCTCAATCTGATCAGATTATATCCGGAGAATTACGTCAGTGAAATTTGTTACATAACCGGAATAAGTGTGCGTGTGTGGCAGGGGATAAAAAGGTATGACATTATCAAGAAAAGGCTCTGAAGATAATAACATCATAGACCAAAATAAATCTTCTCTAGAGATGTATCTCAAATGCACATGAATAAGGGACCAATTGAAATCGAAAAAGGAAATTAAGCAGACAATAATAATATCAGTATTTTACTATGCCAAAATATCATTGGTCGACAAAATCACAGCTATCTGATTCGCCCAGCTGACAGTTGTAATACTATATAAAATCAGATCAATAAGTAATACTTGAACACGTTTACAATCTGTTTATATACAAACTTTCAGATTCACACCGAAATGCCTACACGTCGTTATCAAGATGACTGTATAATTGTAAGATTGCATTATTCATTCTATACTCATCTTCACTATCCTCCTTCTCCTCCTCCCCACAATTTCATCTACAGTTAAACGATGATTATCCAGGATATTTCGCCAACAACTTCATGCTACCAGCACGTTATGAAAAGTACATCGAGAGCATTATCGTACCACATGGAATGGTTTTGGATCGTCTCAACAAAATGGCTTCTGACATTCTCGACACTTATGAATGCTTGCGCACACGCTCAATTCATATCATATGCATATTGAAGGGTGGTTTCAAATTCGCCTCTGATCTATTCGAAACATTGCAAACATTTATCACATCGCGGAAGAAAGATATCAATGTGTACATTGACTTCATCTCAGCTAGTACTTATGTTGTAAGTTGTTTCTACACGCATATTGGTTGATTTAACTCATTTTCTAATGTAGAATGATTCTGTGGGTGATGGGACAAAATTGAATGCCTGTACAGACATGGAGAAATTTCGAAATAAGGTGAGTTGATTAATTCAGTGAATTAGGCTTTTCTACCAACTACACTTTCCCTCTTTCCCTTCTTCTCCTTCGTGTGCTTAGAATGTTCTCATTGTCGAAGATCTCGTTGATACGGGAACAAGTCTTACTAAAATCGAAGAATTTGTCCGTCAATATAATCCACTCTCGTTACACACAGCTTGGTAGGTTCAAATAATTTGTTGTATTGTTATGTTCGCTTCTTAATATTTTGTTAGTGAATATTGATTGATTGTTTAGGGAGAATTGAAGCAAATTCAGTAGTCGACAACTGATTGGTTGTTTCACTCACTTTGTCAGTGATCGATAAAGTTGAAGACAGTAAACTTTATGAATTAGATGTTAGACTGATTGCTATGACCACAATGATTATTACAATAATTATTATTATTGTTGTCAAATTATTGAGGCATGTGGTTAGAAATGTCGATCAACTTATGCTTAAGAGGTGAACAGCAACCACCAGTTTGTCATATCAGCGATAAGGTTTGTTTATTGAATGAGATAAATGTCTGTTTTGAATATTACTGATATTCTTCTTCACATCGTCGGACTATCATGGAGAGAAAGACATACAATAAATTCGGGAGATTGTTATTTGTCCCCTTGAACTTAAATTGGGCTCTGTATCACCACAGGTAAGCAGCAGTACATACACGCATGTGGTTCTCAAAGACGCCTCACTTTCATCGTAGGTAATCATCAGCAACCAGTCATTCGATGTCGATGACATTTTCAGTGAGAACTGATTGAACAGAGTAACCACCATCTCAGCTCCTGTCTTCGAGATATAACGACGATTGGAATCGGCCACAAGTAGTCATTTTGCAGTTGAAAACAAGACAATCATCACAAACAGGGAAGTCAACCTAAATTGAGAGCATTTATCGTTCTCGTAGCGAATAATAAACTCACGACCCTCTTCACATTTTTGATTTCACGGCTGACATTACCCATTAGGCAGATGTGCCACGCACTATTTCTTCTCAAGCAGTTCTTCGTTATTATTTTCTGAAAACCAATTTGATTATTGAGACAGTCTCATGTTCATCTTAGGAATTCATTGGCAACCAGTCAGTACCAAAACACACTGGTCCAATAGATTAGTTATTAAAATAGTTGCCAACTTCGAGGTATACCGACGATGTTCACTGCTCCTGAGGCAGGATTTCACACTCATAAACGTGGTTTACATAACTAAGAAGGATGTTTTCTTAGCACAGAGGGACTTGTCTCTCCATCGCAGGATATCTCAAAGGTGTTATCTTTTTTGGATTAAATTTTCATTTTTGAAGAGGTACACCATTTCCTATTTCCCTTTGAGAATTTACGAAGATTTCCGTGTGTTTCCTTTGCATTATAACAGTCTGTTACTGAAAAGAAGACCTGACTGTGCTGGATACATACCAGACTGTAAGTCATACTTCTCCATTTATTCATAAATATTTCACACATTGACTTTGACCTCCATCTGTTCTTCACACTATCATTAATCCACATTGAATTGCTTGAATTTGAACTGGTGCCAAATTGTTGTTTACCAAAACATCAGCATTCTAAGCTTGCTGAAATAGTTATGCTGTAAGTTCTGAAAGACATCACATGCATATCTATGATCTCTATAATTATCCACAAACGTCTTTATCGGGCATGAAACAAGTGTTCATTGGAATAGATTGCGAAAGCATTTGGAGGTATCAGACTACAGGATTAGAAATATCTGATAAACTGCTGTGTAGAGCAACTGTTATACATGTTGCTTGTCATCCATATATGCTTCGACTGTTAACCGCTTTCGAGCATGCTGTCTCCCCGAACATCCCACATTACCAACAATTGTTTTATTTGGTAATGTGCACTGAGACACCTCAGGGATGACAAATTCAGCCTCATTCCGCGCCATGCTTTTTACGCTAAACACAAGTCATTTATTTATTTATTTCCTGTAAACAACAATTCCTCACGCTAATTACCCATTCTAAACATCTTTCACATTCTACAGATGTCGGCTTTGAAACACCCAACCGATTCATTGTTGGATATGGTATTGACTACAACGATTACTTCCGTGATATACCAGTAAGTGTGATTATCAATTTAAACAAATTTATCATGGTAGATTCACTCACAGAACAGATTCACTTAGAGTTACTGATGGCAAAGAAGCATTGGAAATCTGTACTGTTCTAATCTGAAATCCTTCAACACTGTTGTTGAAGCCTGCAAATGTGTGGGCGCTCGATTGGCAGGAAGGGGGTGAGCATACCCCCATGCAGTTAGTGCACTCAGATTGAATCATATTGATAATAATAATAGTAATAATAATAATAATCACAAGTAACCTACGAAATATTCTGAATGAGCATAAGGACAATGAACTGTTTTACACAAGGTTATTGTCAAACCGAAAGATTTTACTGAATTCAGTTATCTGCCGCATTCATCAAAGTGATAATTATCAAATATCACGTCGTGTGTCACCCAGTAGAACACTGCATAATCTTCATGATAACGATGATTCGGACACCTTTCAACACTCATCACACTCCACAAACTGCGCTGATTCTTGCCCTGAACTACTCAAAACTCTATTCTCTTGACCTCCAATCGCGTTCAAACACACTCACAGAAACGTTTACAGACAGCGACTCATAAAATGCATTACATTTCTCATTCATTATGTTGCGTATACTTTTCTAATCTCCAACACATTTTCTCTCCAATTTTCAGCATGTCTGTTCAGTGAATAGTCAGGGTAAAATTAGATTCGCCAAACCTACATCCACAGTTACGATAATTCGTCAACAGAGTAAACAGTAATTGTCAACCAGATGCATTAGTCACCACTGTCTTCTATACAATCACTTGTAAACATCTATAAATACATCCAATTCCGCCGTCCTGCTTGGTCAATCACCAGTCATGTAGAAGACTATTTTGTTATATTTTGTTTATTTCAAGAAAAAGTGTTTCAAACGAATGTCTTCACTCTTGTTTCTTTGCGTCTTGTGTTACCATGTCAGTTCAGATAGTAGTGATTGAAGATCATCCATATGTCGTGTAGGATCATTACTGAATAATGGTTGAAGTCATGACAACTTATGTCTACTGAAGAAGTAGGTTATGTAGTCTAAGATGGAGGACTGAAACTTTGATGGAGGTGGTGAAGTCTAGTTTTTTCTGCAACACAATACTTGATTGAGTGGAAGCTGAGTAGATTCAGTAGGAGACGTTAGGAAACGCATATCACTGAGGTCGGAGTTATTGAGGTTCCTGAAGGTGAATTCACTCTAATACTTTTATGCTTTAAGCATATGTAAGGGATATATTAATGCGTGAGAGAACCAATGCTCTAGCAATGAACAAAAAGTTATTCTTTACAGTTTGTACTCCCATCAGAATGCGTTCATCGGCTTGTCATTCAATAGTCAGCGCTGTATATCTGATCCGTCTCAATTTTTTTCAACACATGTGTTGTGCAGTGGGTTTCCGCTTGGTTGATTGTCAGAGTTTCTTCACTTTTTGTCCTGCCATCCGGATCCTGTTGAAATTGATTTCATTATGGCCGTACTTCAAGTCCTTGAAACATTTAGAATGCCTTCTGGAACCGAAAATCTAAATCTTGTTCTTTACTCTGAATGCAGAGGATTTCCACAGTGAATTCAGAATAATGAGTGTCTGTCTTGTTTTTTCAATCCTACCCTCGACATCCTCATCGGTTCTCACTGCGAGTAGGTGGAAGGATGCTGCTCAAATAAATGAAGAAATTCATCCTTTTTAAATGTCTCTTGTTGATTGAGAATGATACATTTTTTTGTTACGTATGTTGATTGCCTCTATCTTCTTAGTGTTCACATGAAGACCTTGCTTTGCCGTTTCTTCTGCCAACTTGTTGATTCTCGCATGTATATCTTCGAGTTTTTGTGGCATTAATTATAAACCGTGAAGTTCGAACTTTCCGTAGTCTTCTTGTCAGTCCAACGTCATAGTCTGTCTCACTCTTCAGTCCATCAAAATCAGATATATCATTAAAGACAGGAGACAGCCTTGTCTTTCTTCTATCCTGACTTCAGACGCTTTGTTGAATTTTCCACTGTGCATCATGACATGTGGTATCGTAATATGGCTTCTCAGTTAGCGTAATAAAGGCTTAGGGCGATGAATTCCATCGTTTTGAATCAATGTTTAAATTACTTCACAGTCAACGCTATTCAAAGCCCTTTCAAAGTCGATGAAGTTGGGCCAATTACACATACATTGGTTGAATCGGCAAATTAACATTAATGCAGACATGTGAGTAGTAATATTTATATCCATTATCTTAAGTCTGCCCTCATGATGGCCACTAGGAAATAACTGACTGGATTGCACACGCTTTGATTCAAGAAAATTTCATTCGCGTTTACAGGACTTAAGTATATTACACCTGACAACTTTCTCTTGGCTATCAATTACCGACTTCATAGTTATAATTGTAAGTAAGGTACTTTTATTGGTATAGTGGTTCTGTTATTGGTTCAGATTGTATGTGTAATAAGTAAGAAAAGGAAGAGAACTCAAGATTTTGGTAGTATTTTGTGAAAATTAATTTTCTGTCTCATTCATAATCAGATGGTACTTATAACTAGGGGAGATTTCAGTCATTTACGTGGTAAATATTACCAAGAATCTGCTTCAATAAGAAGAAGCACCGAAAAGTATTTAATTATGGTTCGAATGTCTTCACCAGGTTTTCAGTGATTCATCAAACTCGTGGTCAACTCATGATAAAAGTTATCATGAAGGCAATCAGATTTTCACAAACCAACTGACTACATTTCATGTATTTGTGACCAGCAACCTGATTTAATCAGATAATTATAAATTTGGCGGCGAATGAGAGGTACCTATGCAAGTATTAATCTGTCACGCTTGAAATGATCATTCATAACTCCGTACTTTCGTTTAATCGAGATAATATTAGTATTCCCCTGTAAGAATTATGATATAAGCTGATATCATGTTACGCCATCATCATGGTCTCTTCACTCATTAGTCATTTAGTCTCATTCATTGAAATGTAAAGTAGACAAATCAAGTTGTGAAAAGTATGGAACTTAGATCATTCTAAGTAATCTGTGGATTTATACACAGATGTAAATCAGCCGAAATAACACTATTTTCGCAAATTCATATTTATACTTAGTAGAAGGAAGAAGATATATATCAAGATGTCAGTCAATAACACTGTCTCTTTTGCACAGCTTATCAAGAAGTAGGTATAAATCTGATATTCTAGTATCATTTACCATAATGCGGCTTTCCTCAAGCAAACACTGTTGATGAGATATACTCGGTAACAATTACCTCCATTATTAAGATATAAGTCATGGGGTTTACTCTGAATACATTAATTTCTTTTTTTACAAATTAAAAGTGTATTTTCACCATGAGCTGACAATAATTAGAGAGCCACTGGAAACCCTGGGAGTACTGGACAGCTGTTTCGTCCTAGTTTGGGACTCTTCATCAGTACGCACCCACCGGGATTCGAACCCAGGACCTTCTGGTTACAAGGCAAGCTCGTATACCATTAGGCCACTGGGATCCGATCCAATGGTCCATGAACTCTAACTTCTGCCAATTCACGACATAGCGCGACCCCTAGCCAATGTCTTCGGCGAGTATTTGTCCTCACACCTGACCTGCTGCACCCTACTGGTCACGACTGCTCACTAGAAACAGCTGTCCAGTACTCCCAGGTTTTACAATGGTTCTCTAATTAATGTCAGCTCATGATGAAAGTCCTGTAACCAATCAAATCCCTACAAACCAACATTTGAAAAATGTATTTTACTGGAATGTATATGTATGCCACATTGCATCAAATTGTTCGTGAATGATTTTATCAGTTTGAGAGAGCCTAGGATACTTAGTATGAAACTGATATAAAGGGTGATGAATGTAAGTGAAATTGAAGAATGCCCTAAGACTTTATTCAATAAAGCCATCACCAGATGTCACTGTACGAAATGAGTGAAAAAGGATCTGGAACAGTCAGGGTCTATATCTAGAAATCAGTGGGTGATATTCGTTCTACAACTGTCTATGAATCATTTCGTGGTGAAAATTATTAGTATTACTTTCATTTTTCTTCTACAATGACAATTCTACCATATTAGTTTGTTTATTAGATGTATCACACAGTGAAACAGTATTATTTACTGGATGACGTTTCCAACAAAATTTATTGTTCATAATCATATCAATTATAATCATACGAATTCGAAACTTGAGTTTTATAGTTTTCTTTGTTCTCTCCTATTTGTCGTTGGTAAACTAAACTGCGTTGTTTTAAGGCCTCTACAGGATCCTTTAACCGACAAAGCTTGTTTCTAATTGAGTTGGTGGGTTTGAATGCCAGCCACTTTTATTCCTGCCTTGTTAATAATTCTGCGTAAGGTTTCCGAGGTTCCTCCCGTATATGGAATTACTACTTATTGTTGGAGTTGTCTTGCTCATATTTGACATGCACGTTGTCATTATTATTATTATTATTATCACTACCACTAGTATCATTATTTGTTTTATTTTTACATTTCCCTACATATTTCCTAACTAATTTATCAAGGTAATTATTAAGTTTCAAGGCTTCTCTTATATGTATCTTATATATATATATATATCCTATATCTAATACCCTGCAATGATTGTCACGTCAGATACATAGGTCAAACTAGTAGAACAGGGGCAGTCAGACTAGCCAAACATACAAACCTAGCAAAATCTAGATGGGTTGACCCGAATAACATAAGAAATCTAGAGGATAGTTCAGCTGGCTATAGCACTACATGCAGTAACACACAACCATACAATAGGATGGGATAGGATGATAGTTTTAAAATATAATGTCACAGGGTGGAGGGAGAGATTGATAACAGAAGCTTTGTTTATCGAATCAACTGAAAATACATGTAATAGGAATGATTGAACACCTGTCTCAGATATCTGGAAAATCCTACTACCCATACGACAAATAGGAGAGAACAAAGAAAACTATAAAACTCAAGTTTCGAATTCGTATGATTATAGTTGATATGATTATGAACAATAAATTTTGTTCGAAACGTCATCCAGTAAATAATACTGTTTCACTGTGTGATACACCTAATAAACAAACTAATATAGAATTACTTACTACCACAGTGCCAAAGTTTAACACATATTGAAAACATTTATTTCCTGATACGAATTTAAAACAAGCAATAAAGGTTAATAAACCAGGATTTAATGGATTCATCGAATTTCGGTAGAACTCGTCGGCTTAATACTCTCCATACACGGATATATATATACTTTTGAAATTACATTGGGAGATATACGACTAATAATTATATATACTACATTGTATTAATCATGCAGAAAGATAGGTGCGAATGTTTTCCAGGTCATGTTGAAATAGGTAAGGGGAAAGGGAGTATGAGAGATTAAAATTAAGATAAAATGCATTACGCTTCAATTACATCACTTAGATAAACAATTAGTCATTAGAGATTATAACAAGAATTGCGAACAAAGTAATATCAGTAGTAATAGTTATAACAACAATAACAGTAATAGTAATAATGTTAAAGTGAGTTAAGATAATGCTACTGATAAAGGATAGTTTTAAATGAATCGAGAATAATAATAATAAGGGGTAGAATAATAAGTAAAACGTATCACCATGGTAGATTCAGAGTCATGACCATCTCCTTTTGTACACAGAGACTTGGTTTATAAACTCAAATTGCACAAGCCTCTGCAATTGCAAGCATCTTCTTGTTTCTTTGTCTGCTGACAATAGTGAATGACTTGACAGCGTCGATATCATGTCCGTAGTCCACACGATGTTTTGTTATTGAGGATTTTGGCACTTTGCACTTAGCTGTTTTCAACCATTTTGGCAAATGCTTCATCATGCGAGTAGACAATCGCCTTTCTGTACGACCTATGTATTTGCTTCCACAAACACACTCAAATTGATATACGCAGTTTGAAGTGTCCAGGATTGGCGACTGGTCTTTCCCAGATTGTTGAAGCACCCGCTTAGTGGTGTTAAGGAAAACAAGTTTTGCAGCATAATAAGTTCTCTTGATGGCTTTATCGAGTCTTCGTTTGACTACTTCCTGTACATCATCTCCTTTGAATGGCAAACTGATATAGACAGATTTCTTCGGAACTGTTTGGATAGTTTTGCAGAGGCTAATTTCTGTAGAGTATTTATTAATGAACTTCTCAGGATATCCATTCTTAGATAAAATATCCTTCAGAGCTTTTATTCCATGCTCAATTTTACTGTCGGAACAAATTTTCCGTGCTCTGTTGAACAGTGTCCTGACTAAGTTCTTTTTGTACTGGATTGGAACAAAGCTCTTAAAATGCATGTACTGTCCTGTCCATGAAGACTTTCTAAATATAGAGCTTTCGATTGCGCCATCAGTCATTTTTGCTAGAAAAACGTCTAGGAATTTAATAGTATCGTTTTCCTCGTGTACTATTGTGAAATTGAGATTCGGATGGCATGAGTTGAATTTTATCAACATGTCTTCAGCTTTTGATCTGCTTCCACAGACAATGAAAATGTCATCAACATATCTTAGGTAAACATCTGTTTCTTTTATATGTTGCTGCAAGGTACCGGCTTCTAGGCCTGACAAGAATAAGTCTGCAAAAAGTGGTCCCAAGGGGCTTCCCATTGCGACACCATCAACTTGACGGAATAGATGCCCGTCGAATTGGAATTGGACATTCTTAGTACATAAAAGCAACAGTTTCCTCAATTCCGATGTTGGAATGGTTATGTCTTCAGCTTCTCTACATATGAAGTCACTATTCTCAACGACTGGCACATTTGTGAAGAGGGAGGTAACATCAAAAGAGACCAGATGCTTATCAGATACATTAAAATCTTTAATTTGATTGACAAACTGAAATGAATCAGAAACTACATACGTTCCGAAACGTTTTCGCAAGGGCTGCAACAATTCACATAGCCATTGTGCTAATTTGTGGTATGGTGAGTTTATCATTGAGAGTATAGGTCTTAACGGCGCTCCTGGTTTGTGTTTTTTAACGCGTTCGTATAATTTTGGGATTTGTGACCCAATTGGTTTGATATTCCTATATGTATTTTCATCAATGTATTTCTTTTTAAAGAGTTGCCGTAGATGCTGCACAATTTTCCTTTCGGTCGATAACGTTTGATCTTTTGCATGATTATCCAATTTGAATTTAGATTCATCAGAGAGAATGATACAATACAATGTATATGTGTTTGAAAAGAATGTAATATTATTAATAGGAGAATAATAGGAATAATAGGATCAGTAGGCAATTAAAACATGAAATGACATGCTAAGGGGTTCGATAAGATAGATTTTTAAATTTAAAAATAATTCATTGATTTGGAATAATAAATGAGACAAGTGATATAATACCAGAAACTGTTCAAAGTCAGAACATTAATAATGACAATCATAGTGATAGATTAAATAAACAAGACGAAAGATAAATAAATAAAAGTTTATGCCTCTATGGATTAGACAGAAATGGGAAATGTACACAAACATCTGGCCAAGGCCTCTTCTGACTTTAGAAGTTTAGAACAAAGAAAATGCGGCAAGTTAGCATAGATTTGATTATTATTATTGTTTCTTATAGTTCCTAGAGGAACATAAGACCTCAGCCGCACGTCTCCGTTGCGTTCGGTTCTCTGCCTATCTTCTCTGGATGCTTCTTCTCCTAACTTGTTGCTTTTCACTTGCATATTTTCCAGTTTGTACGAAATCAGACATATATCATCGGCGAAGTCCAGATCCTCCAAGTTTTTTGTGTGAGTCCATTTTATGCCTGTTTCCTCATTGCCCGCTGTTTGTCGCATTATCCAGTCTACTGCAATCAGGAAAATCACTTGAGATAGTAGGCAGCCTTGTCTTACTCCCGTCTTCACTTCGAAGGATTCCGTAAGTTTCCCATTGTGGATTACTTGGCATGCAGCATTGTCGTACAACTGTTGGGTGAGATGTATAATTTGAACAAAGAAAGAAGAAACATTGGCGCAGAATAATCTGGATCCATTTTATTTCGTTGGTTCTCATCAGCTGCGTACAACCTGAATTTTTTTAAATTAAAAATAAAAGTGTACAATTTTAACAAACCTTTGTCCATTAGCAAGCATAGTGCCAGACCGTCATAGTAAAATAAGGCATTAAGATTTACAGGGTGTCTAAAGTGTCACGACATATATATATCTTGGTAGAGAGAACTTTCTTGAAAAAATTAGTTAACAGTTGTGTTGTTAAGGTGGTAACAAAAGACAATTAGCAATAGTTACGTAATTAGATAAGAGAAGATCAAAATTCTAAAATGACGGTGCACATGAGGTCAGATGAGAAGTTGGTGATGTAATACAGTGAGCAGAACTCAGAAGATCAAGAAAAATTATCTCTTGCGTCGGTGGCATAGCGGTTAGGACGCTCGCCGACCATGCATATGGTTCGGGGTTCGATCCCCGGCCGACGCACTCCTTTACCTCGCTAAGCCAGAAGTAATGCTGGTGAAGAGGAAAGGTTGGGCATGAGGCTAGCAACCCCATCCTGTAAAATAAACACTGCTACAGAAACTCCAAGCCACTAGCTTGAAGCCCTATGTTCCACTGGGGAACGTGAAGGAAAAAAAAGAGAGTCAAGCGAAACATAAAGGGGGGTGGAATGAAAAGATAAGTTAACGAAATTAACAAAATTAGAAAACAAAGAGTTACTAAGAAGTGAGTTACCAGGGTAATTGAAGTCCAAAAACGGATTCTTTCTGGACACATAAGTCAGGCTTCAATCGTTTTATTCCTATAGATTCAGCAAACCTGAGAAGACTTGAGGTACTTTGTCTGTTAATTATTTTGAATGATTCCAGCACATCTACTCGGTGTCCTATGTCAATCAGATGTTTGGCGATTGAAGAGCTTAAATAATTCGATCCCTTTAGCCGGAGGCTCCTTGGTACATGTTCGCAGAATCTGAGGTAGGCCCTCCTCTCTGTTCTTCCAATGTAACTGCTCCCGCAGATAAATGTGAATTGGTATACACAGTTGGAGATGTATAATTGTCGGTGACACCCCGGTGTACCTCTTCAAAAATGAAAATTTAATCCAAAAAAGATAACATATGTGAGATATCCAGTGATGGAGAGACAAGTCCCTCTGTGCTAGGAAAACGTCCTTCTTAGCCATGTAAACCGCGTTTATGAGTGTGAAATCCTGCCTCAGGAACAGTGAACATCGTCGGTATACCTCGAAGTTGGCAACTATTTCAATAACTATTCTATTGGACCAGTGTGTTTTGGTACTGACTGGTTGCCAGTGAATTCCTAAGATGAACATGAGACTGTCTCAATAATCAAATTGGTTTTCGGAGAGAAAATAACGAAGAACTGTGATAACTGCTTGAGAGGAAATAGTGCGTGTCACATCTGCCTAATGGGTAATGTCAGCCGTGAAATCAAAAATGTGAAGAGGGTCGTGAGTGTATTATTCGCTGCGAGAACGATAAATGCTCTCAATTTAGGTTGACTTCCCTGTTTGTGATGATTGTCTTGTTTTCAACTGCAAAATGACTACTTGTGACCGATTCCAATCGTCGTTTTATCTCGAAGACAGGAGCTGAGATCGTGGTTACTCTGTTCAATCAGTTCTCACTGAAAATGTCGTCGACATCGAATGACTGGTTGCTGATGACTACCTACGATGAAAGTGAGGCGTCTTTGAGAACCACATGCGTGTATGTACTGCTGCTTACCTGTGGTCATACAGAGCCGAATTTAAGTTCAAGGGGACAAATAACAATCTCCCGAATTTATTGTATGTCTTTCTCTTCATGATAATCCGACGATGTGAAGAAGAATATCAGTAATATTCAAAACAGACATTTATCTCCTTCAATAAACAAACCTTATCGCTGATATGACAAACTGGTGATTGCTGTTCACCTCTTAAGCATAAGTTGATCGACATTTCTAACCACATGCCTCAATAATTTGACAACAATAATAATAATTATTGTAATAATCATTGTGGTCATAGCAATCAGTCTAACATCTAATTCATAAAGTTTACTGTCTTCAACTTTATCGATCACTCACAAAGTGAGTGAAACAACCAATCAGTTGTCGACTACTGAATTTGCTTCAATTCTCCCTAAACAATCAATCAATATTCACTAACAAAATATTAAAAAGCAAACAACAGTGGAATAAACAGAAGCGAACATAACAATACAACAAATTATTTCAACCTACCAAGCTGTGTGTAACGAGAGTGGATTATATTGACGGACAAATTCTTCGATTTTAGTAAGACTTGTTCCCGTATCAACGAGATCTTCGACAATGAGAACATTCTAAGCACACGAAGGAGAAGAAGGGAGGAAAGTGTAGTTGGTAGAAAAGCCTAATTCACTGAATTAATCAACTCACCTTATTTCGAAATTTCTCCATGTCTGTACAGGCATTCAATTTTGTCCCATCACCCACAGAATCATTCTACATTAGAAAATAAGTTAAATCAACCAATGTGTATGTAGAAACAACTTACAACATAAGTACTAGCTGAGATGAAGTCAATGTACACATTGATATCTTTCTTCCGCGATGTGATAAATGTTTGCAATGTTTCGAATAGATCAGAGGCGAATTTGAAACCACCCTTCAATATGCATATGATATGAATTGAGCGTGTTCGCAAGCATTCATAAGTGTCGAGAATGTCAGAAGCCATTTTGTTGAGACGATCCAAAACCATTCCATGTGGTACGATAATGCTCTCGATGTACTTTTCATAACGTGCTGGTAGCATGAAGTTGTTGGCGAAATATCCTGGATAATCATCGTTTAACTGTAGATGAAATTGTGGGGAGGAGGAGAAGGAGGATAGGTAAGATGAGTATAGAATGAATAATGCAATCTTACAATTATACAGTCATCTTGATAACGACGTGTAGGCATTCCGGTGTGAATCTGAGTTTGTATATAAACAGATTGTAAACGTGTTTAAGTATAACTAACTGATCAGAGATTATATAGTATTACAACTGTCAGCTGGGCGAATCAGATAGCTGTGATTTTGCCATTTAACTGTAGATATAATTGTGGGGAGGAGGAGGAGGAGGAGAGGGAAGATGAATATTGGATGAATAATGCAATCTTACAATCGTACAGTCGTGACATACTGCCATGTGATGAATTTGCATTGTGGTGATATCTTGCAGACTGGAGTTAATACGAAAGTAGTGAGCTTATCAGTACTGGTCTAATCACTAATTTTTTTTTCTATGCCTTCACGTTCCCAGTGGAACATTGGGCTCCTAGCTAGAAGGTTGAAGTTTTTTGGCAGTGTTTATTTTTACAGGATGGGGTTGCTAGCTACATGCCTAACCTTTCCTCTTCAACATCTTTACTTCTAGCTTACCGAGGTAAAAGAGTGCACCGACCGGGTATCGATCCCCGGACCATGTGTATGGTCGGCGAGCGTCCTTGTGGCGGCCTAAAAACATATCAGATTATATGTTCACCGAAAAATAAGGAATCCAATAAAAATCGTGGTTGTTAGGTGAGATTGGAAAGAACTCAACCTTGGACCGCGCGCAAGGAACGAATTGGTTGCTCTCTCTCCGGCGGCTCGCTCAGCACGTCTGCCTACCAACTCTGTCTCGCACTAATTGACATCCACATCACGAGCTTTGCTCCTATCTGTTTTTCTCTACGCGGAGACCTCCGACGATTGACAGCTCTAAGGTGTAGTGGAGGATTTGTATAATCAAGAAAAGGACAATTACATTCCTATAATTTCGTACGTCTATAATTTGTGTATTTTGTGACTATTATAGTTTTTCTTCAAATAACCTCAGTTCTTTTTGTGCATATTAACTTAAGTGAACTGAGTATCTTATATATACGTATTTATTAGTACCTGTTCTGTCCTTTTAATTGTGTGTATAGATTTACTTAGCTGCTAGGTCCACTACATCTTAACCGCTATGCCGCCGACGCACTAAGCTTTATTTTATTTGTCAATTTACATGTAGAAAAGTGGGATGGGTTACGATAAGGCTCTTTTTGTCCCTAACAACTTTGAAATAATTGACAGAGATACTAAATATGATAAAGGGTTCGAATAATCTTAACATATTAGATAAAGGCACTTTGATAACTTGTAATGTCTATAAATGTTTTGTATTACGAATATATGCTCAACGTAAACTGAAGAAGTTCGGAGCAGATTGCCGAACGAAACGTTGGAATTACTCATTTCAATCTCCCTGAGACTTTACAAATATAATTTTTTACAAATGTCTGCTTCTCACTCGGTGCCCAAATATTTTAGAACTATTCTGTCAAATCTTGACGACAGTTCATTTGAATGTATACTATCTTTCTACCAGCTACTCACCAAACAGACTTTACAATTTTGAACCAACGTACTAATTTAAATTTTCAATGATGCTTGAATTCATATATAACCAGTCATCGTGACATTCGTCACAAAAGTAATCTGTGTCCTGTTACCTTATAATTGGGAACCAATCTGAACTCAATTCCTCTTATCATATTTATTCCAAATTAGGAAAACGTAGTCGCCGCCTATGTGATTCATAATATAATGAAAACAAATCTGATTTTATTACTGTTCTCTTTTGTCACTTATTATTAATTATACCATTTCAATCAAAAATAACTAAGTAAATGTTTGTATGTTTATTGTAAAATTGCAGAATACACTACTATCTAACAAGTCTTAAGTAGTTACATTTACAAACAATGTGTGAAATCTCTTGAAACGAAAGTAGCAAGTGACAGATTTTATTCTCGCCTGACGTTCGTTCATTTACAAATGAGATCATACAAATGCTCTTACATTTATCTTACATTGCACTGCAGTCCTCTGCTAGATATGTAGTTCAGATTTCAATACAGGTAAAAATGAAGCGTTTCTGTAAAGAATTCAATCCTGAATATAAATAACTTCTGGTAAAATGTTGTTATAAGTTTAAGAAACAAGGACTACATTATTCAAGTATATTCATGATTAATATAATTGGAGAACTTAGGCACTGTGGTGGAATGTAGTTCCATATTAGATAAGTTTATTTTAGAAAAGCATACAGTGATTCAGTATTAACAACTGGATAGCGTTTCGAGCATAAATTATTGCTCATAAACCATGTCTTCGTGATTAATACCACTGTATATGGATTGACAGGTACCGGATTTCGGTTGGACTGGAAAGACAAAAGTCACTGAAATGTGGTTACATCAACATGAGAAAATTCATTTTATGAATACAAATATCAAATAAATAATTGACAAAGATATTTCACAGTAGGTGTTTGCTTCATAGACGCCTTATTCATGAGTAGAAGATAGCGGTGAAACTATGAAATGCCTTGTTCGTCATAAATTAACATGATATTTCCATTATGCTCTGACTGGGAGCTAATCATTATTCTCGCCTCTCAATTCTCTTCACCATCACTTACTTGACTAGTATTATGAATAAAGAATATTTAGAGATACTTCAATTGTGTAACATCGAACAAACCCATAGTGAGTGAAGTAAAATTGAGATAAATTCAACATTTGCATCGTCTAGCCCAGTTAGAATAACGTGAAGTCTCTCTCATTTGAAAATCTGTCCGCTGAATATTAATTAACCGGGAAATTCCACTCATCTCCAGATATCAACTCAATCACTGCCTATTAGAATTGCGTGTCTGGGGTGGAATAGTAGAACGTTGGCCTACCACGCACTTGGTCTGGGTTCGATTCCAGGCTGAGACGATCCTAAATGCCAACTGTTCTGCAATAAGGCAGGGAAAGAGAGAAGATTGGACATGAGGCTAGCAATCCAATTCCACAAACATAAAGCAACATCACCATTGAAAAGTCAAAGCTCAAGCTTGACGCAATACGCTCCATTTGGAGTGGAAATGGAATGAAAGGATATTATGAATATATTTTATCGATGTCGGTAACACCCTTTAGTATCCAAATTGTAAATGATGAATTGTGTGGGCGTGCAAATTAACCGTTGATTCTAACTTTATAAAATATTTATACTTCTCTCTAGTTTATACTGAAATGTCTAAAGTATGTGAACTGAAACAAATGAGGCGACTTCACTAAAATTATTTTTTTTCTTAATCTGTATAGCTTATACAAACTATACACCAGAAGTTTATTTTATTTTATTTTTCTAATAATCACTCTCACTCACTGTTTTTTAAGTGAAGTGAAGTAATTAATTAATTTCTATCTGAATACTTGTTATTGTTTTGATGTGATTAAAGAGTTTAGTCAACAATGACGGTACAGTTTACCCTTTTATTAATTTAACATTTTTGTGCCAGATATTGAGTACTTTTGCAAAAGATTGGGTATTGCAATCTGATGAATGAAGAGTGTGATGATAAACTCACAATATTTATTAATATCTGTTGTACAACATCTATATAACATCTTTTATGAATTAGTAGATGTTTAGACAATGTTGAATGTTAGAAAAGCTGGTTTAAGTGAACAGTCGTTCTTCTCAAATGAAGAATGATTCATGTTGTGTTGAGTTGACAGTTGATGGCACAGATGTCTAAACTTGAAGACGTGATATTTACATAATATTAAAATTTGATTCAGATGGGTGAACAGAATACTGATTTTCTGCAGTCTGCATCATATAAATGACCTCAGTGCATTTTGAAAATGTTGTATTTGTAGTTTTTTGATCTCTCAGGACTATAATGTTTGGTATGCGTCAGCACAGTGGCTTCTAGTAAGAGCTCTCTGATGATGATTTGTTGTCAGCTTGGAATGTTTACATAAACTGGGAGAAATCAGTCGACGGAAATTTAGGAGTTTCAGAAGGTGGATAACTGACATGTGTTGCACAAGGAGTTGTATTCTCGCCAAAATTAACTAGTTGATAATGGTCTATTGTTTGGAGTGGCAGTTGTTGGGGTTGATTATCAGTGGGAATATCATGTCTGACAGAGATATATGCTGATGCGTTTGACAGCACTTAAGTAGAATAACAGCTTGCCTTCGATTTTAATACTAGCCATCATCAATCAGGTGTCATTTTCTTTGTCAGTTATAGAGTATTCATAAGACAATGAATTAACTGTAGATTTGAAGGGAATTATTTCGAAAATATAAGTAGATTTTCTGTGTAAAATATCAACTGTCTTCGTTTAACATTTCGAAGATGGACTATGAAACTGACCGTATTCGTCATCCAATCTTCAATGTCTTCCAATTAAATTAATTCGGATAAGATCTAGCTAAAGATTTCATTAGCTAAGAAAAGTTGATAATCATATATATATATATATATACATAAGACAGTTGGAATAATGTATGGGAACCTCAGTCACCATCTGAGTGAAGAAAGTAGGCGCCATGGTTCCAAGTATCCTTTCCACCATATGCCTTAATATTTATTACTCTTATCACTGAGTAAGGTATTCCCCGCGGTCATATTAAAAGTAATCATAATATCAGAATTTAAAAATTTGTCATCACCTCGAGATTTCCGTAGTTTAGGTGACTGGAGGCAAACAACAGGGAGCTGTGAACTTAGGTATCAATCATGCTTACGGACACGCTCAGCGAAGCATATTTGAGACTTAAAATGATCTGCAGCTCCTACGCGAAAATATGTTAGTGAATTACTAGCGAATCTTTTCCAAGTCCTTTTGCAAATGTTCTCAGCTGAGCTCACCTTACTAAGGCGAGTCCATAGTCCATAACGTCTTTCGAAATGTGCCAGAAAGAAAAATTATAAAAGTGATAGAATTTTCAAAATTTATTCATATTTAACAAGGGGAAAGGTGCTTTTTATCAGCTTTTTCCATACTTTTACATGGACAGATGTGTGATTACTACATTCATTACCTTTTGGAACACATCACCTAGTTTCACATAAAATTGGATCCTTTTCTGCTACTCAGTCGACTGCATAATTAAAGAATATCTACATATTCTGATATCATAATCT